ATCAAAAACTTAAAAGCCTGACAAATGGTTATAAACCCGGAGCTAATTCCTGCAAAGATGAAAACGGTGATCTGGTGATAGATGTCCAAAGCCTGCTTAATATTTGGAGGGATCACTTCCCGAAACTATTAAATGGCGGTAGTAGCAATGTGACTGAAAGCGAAGATGATCCCGAATTTTCAATCGTTGACGATGAAATAATCGTTCCGCCTCCCGATCATAATGAAGTTAAAACAGTTATAACGCGGCTCAAAAACAACAAAGCTGTAGGCGCCGATGGTTTACCGGCTGAGCTGTTTAAAGCTGTTGGCGAAGAGCTATCAAAATGCATGCTACAGCTAATTCGCAACATTTGGTCGGATGAATGCATGCCCAACGATTGGAATTTAAGTGTGCTTTGCTCAATCCACAAAAAAGGTGATCCTGCAAACTGCGCCAACTACGGCGGGATCAGTCTTTTAAATATCGCATATAAGGTTCTATCAAACGTACTATGTGAAAGATTGAAGCCAATCGTCAACCAACTGATTGCACCTTATCAGTGTGGCTTCAGACCTGGCAAATCCACTCTAGACCAAATACTCACAGTGCGTCAAATCCTGGAGAAGACTCAAGAAAAACAAATCGAAACACACCACCTATTTGTCGACTTCAAAGCTGCTTTTGACACTACGACTAGAAGCACACTCTATGCCGCTATGTCTGAATTTGGTATCCCAGCAAAACTTATACGGCTATGTAAAATGACGTTGAGCAACACCACCAGCTCCGTTAGAATTGGAAAGAACATCTCTGAGCCGTTTGATACCAAACGAGGTTTCAGACAGGGTGACTCCTTGTCGTGTGACTACTTTAACCTAATGTTGGAAACGATAATTCGAGTAGCAGATTTAAACCGTACTGGCACAATATTCTAAAAAAGTGTAATGCTGCTTGCGTATTCCGACGATATTGATATCATTGGTCTGAACACCCGCGTCGTCAGTGCGGCATTTTCCAACTTAGAAAAACAAGCAAAGCAAATGGGTCTTGTGGTAAATTAGGACAAAATAAAGTACTTTCTGTCAACAAACAAATCTCCTGAGCGTCTTGGGACCTACGTCACTGTTGACAATTATAAGTTCGAAGTTGTGAAAGACTTCGTTTATTTAGGAACCAGCTTAAACACCAAAAATGACGTCAGCCTAGAGATTCAACGAAGAATTACTCTTGCCAACAAATGTTACTTCCGGCTAAGTAAGCAATTGAGAAATAAAGCCCTCTCTCGACAAACAAAAATCACGCTCTACAAATCCCTTATCATGCCGGTCCTGCTGTATGGTGCAGAAGCTTGGACAATTACCAACAGTGATGAGAAGGCGTCAGGAGCATTCGAGAGAAAAATTCGGAAGATCTATGGTTCCTTACGCGTTGGCGACGAGTATCGATTAAAATGGAACGATGAGCTGTATGAGCTATACCGCGATATTAACATAGTTAAGCGCATAAAAATTCAGCGGCTACGCTGGCTTGGTCATGTCGTGCGAATGGAAGAAGTGCTCCGGCTAAAAAGGTATTTGATTCGGTACCCGCAAGTGGAAAACGCGGTAGAGGACGTCCGCATCTTGGGTGGAAGGACCAGGTGACCAACGATTTGGGGGCGCTCAGTACTACCAACTGGCGTCAGAAAGCAACTAATCGGGCTGACTGGCGGAGGCTACTCGACGCGGCCAAAGACGACACACGTCTGTAATGGCCAACTAAGGAAGGAAGGAAGAAGTTTTTCCTAATTTTTGTCTTTATTAGTTTGAATATGTATGTCTATATTAAGAAGATTATAAGAAAAAATTATAAAATAAGATTATAAAATAAGATTATTAATAAGATTATAAGATTTAATTTAAGTTTATTATTTAAGAATTACAAGACTAGGGGTCTATACTGTAATATTTGTATGGTGATCTAGAAATTCTATTTATTCATTATTATGAGGTTTTGTTATTTCTAAAGGTATACTCAATCAATATCTAAATTCGTCATTTAATTCATTTTACATTTGGATTTTTTACTATCTTGCAGTCAGATCTTGCAGAGTTGCATGAATTCGCTTTTGCTATTATCTATTGTATGAGATATGACTTTTTAATCTATCTCAATTGCAATTGTACTACCAACAATCGTTTATTAGTAATATCAACGATTCACATTAGAAGTGAATCGAATTAAAAAATATTATAGATATATACAGTGATATAGGGTCACTCTTATATCTTGTAAAATTTTAAAATGTCGTGTCATAGTTAATGAAGCGAAAATAAAATTATGTGTTTCATTTGTTCACTTATTCTACAGAATATGTTTACTTGGGTAAAAACTTGCCTATGATATTCTCATAGGTCCACTGACTTCGTTTCCTCGATATATTAAACATATATAAAGGGGTGCACAGTATATCAAGCAGGCTGTAGTGCATAAGAACCTACACCTAACCCATAATCCACTATTATTACTATTACCAAAAGTTAGAATAAGAATAAAAGTAAGAGTAACAGTAAAAGAAAGTATAGGAGTAAGATTAATAGTAACAGAAGAAGAGTAAGAGAAATAGTAACAGTAACGATAGGAGTAAGAGTAAGAGTAAGAGTAAGAGTAAGAGTAAGAGTAAGAGTAAGAGTAAGAGTAAGAGTAAGAGTAAGAGTAAGAGTAAGAGTAAGAGTAAAAGTAAAAGTAAGAGTTAGAGTTAGAGTTAGAGTTAGAGTTAGAGTTAAAATTAGAGTTAGATTTAAAGTTAGAGTTAGAGTAAGAGTTAGGCAGAGTTAGAGTTAGAGTTAGTTAGAGGTAGTTAGAGTTAGTTAGAGTAAGAGTAAGAGTATTTTTATATTTTTTTTAGTGTGGTCGCCAATATCAAGTGTTATTCCGTTCCGAAGCGGATAATTCAAAAGTTTGTTTAAATGTGTCGATACTTTTCGATGGCGGTACCATTTATATTAAAAATAGTTGAATTATAAACACCTGTTTTTAGTATTAAAGTTTTTAAGGTTTCAGATAACTTTTTCTTGTTTTTTTTGTTTACACCGCCGGTATCGCATGTAAATAATAACTTATAATGATTGTACGATAAACTAAAAGATATTCATGTACTTGAAGATTTTTAAAATAATTAAAAACTTCATTATGTTAGCATTGTGGGTAAATAACTCTTTAATGTATCATTTACGGAAAGTTCATAATAAAGTTCCATATGAATGCAGTGAGGCTAATTAGTTACTACAAAGTTTCGGGAAAAAATCTCGTTGGTTTGTTTCAAGAGATGAGCACTTCGGCA